TTTATCAGGCTTCTTTTAAAATTATTTTTTTCTTGGTAGTAGTGGGTGACCGTGCTAGTGGGAGCTGCTTCTGGGTTCCTTGAGGAGCTTTTTCTTATCTGCCACATTAGATCTATTAGATTCCTGTGGATTTGTCGAAGACTTCCTGAGCTGCATCAGACGGTAGAAGGAAACTTCTGCCCTTTCACTGCACCTTCTCTCTGCCGTGTTTCAGTTTGACAGATCTTGGTGCTGGGATGCTGGTGTCCTGATGAATGTATCTGTCACTCTCAACCAATAAATACATTTCTTTTATCTCAGGAAGTGCTTGAGGTTACGAGCACAGGTGCAATACCAGTGCTGTGTTTTTTGCATTAAGCTGCTGAAGTGAACTGTGCAGCCCCAGCTTATACCAGCCAAAAAAAGCTGTTGCTACAGCTTATTCTCACCTTTGTTCCTTTGTCTTCCTTGCTTCTTCTGTAATTAAAATCAGCTGTGAAGGAGAAAGCTGGCTTTCTATTACATTAGAACTTTTACTTTAAAACAACAAAATAAATGCACTTCTCTCAATACTGCAACTATTCCAGGAGAAGGTGCTGGCTGGAAAGAGTTAAAGGTGTTTTCCCAGATAGATGTAGAAGTACCTATTGTTGTGGATCTGATAGGGTTTTTCTGTTAAAATTAAGGACTAAGTGGTAGATAAGTGCATCAAAAGCCTTATCAGGATTACTGTAAAGGTTCCTTGTACACCTTTGCAATCTGGTGTTCCTCAGCCTTTGCAATCTAGTGTTTCTCAAAGGCTTTGCCTAGAAAGGGGCCTGTTGTAGGAGGTACTTCATTATTGAAATCAGAATCACAGAATCACAGAATCACCCGGGTTGGAAGGGACCCCAAGGATCATGTAGTTCCAACCCCCCTGCCTAGCAGGGCCACCAAACATACACATTCAGATCAGGTTGCCCAGGACCCCGTCCAACCTGGCCTTAAACACGTCCAAGGACGGGGCATCCACAACCTCCCTGGGCAGCCTGTTCCAGGGCCTAACCACTCTCCTAGTAAAGAACTTCCCCCTAACATCCAACCTAAATCTTCCCTCCTTCAACTTAAAACCATTTCCCCTAGTCCTGCTGTTATCAGCCCTTTTGAAGAGTTTACTCCTCTCCTGGGTGTAGGTTCCCTTCAGGTATTGATAGGCTGCAATGAGGTCACCCCGCAGCCTTCTCTTCTCCAGGCTGAACAAGCCCAACTCCCTCAGCCTGTCCCCATAGGGGAGGTGCTCCAGCCCCCTGATCATCTTAGTCGCCCTCCTCTGGACCCTTTCCAAAATCTCAATGTCTTTCTTGTACTGAGGGCTCCACACCTGGACACAGTACTCCAGATGGGGCCTCACAAGAGCCGAGTAGAGAGGGACAATCACCTCCCTGTCCCTGCTGGCCACCCCTCTCCTGATGGAGCCCAGGATCCCATTTGCCTTTCGAGCTGCCAGAGCGCACTGCTGGCTCATATTCAGTCTCTCGTCCATCAGGACCCCCAGGTCCTTCTCTGCCGAGCTGCTCTCAAGGACCGCTCCTCCCAGCCTGTACAGGTGCCTGGGGTTCTTCCGGCCCAAATGCAAAACCTTGCACTTTGCCGTGTTGAACCTCATCAGGTTCACCCGAGCCCAGCCCTCCAGCCTGTCGAGGTCCCTCTGAATGGCATCCCTTCCTTCCACCGTATCAACCGCATAAAAATCAGGATGCTACTAACTAACAGAAAGTGGACAGAAATGTATTTAGTCTTAAAATAAAATGTAATTTTAATGACCAGAGGAGAAATTGGGCAAATTTTGTTAAGTAAATCAGATTTAAACTCAGGTGAATTATCTTAATATACACTATGTATTGTGAATGAGTGTGAGTTCAGTGCAGGAGTCATAGGTACAATATTTTCTGTTGTACTTACAAATGGGGAAGTGGTTACCTTAATTGTTCTTTATGTACCTGAATTTTGAAGTAGCAGCTGTAGCTGTTTGCTTTTGAAAGCAATACTAAGGAAGCTTTTATAGCTGATCTCCAGCTAGTCATAAAGATTTGAGTTTTTTAGTGGCTATAGCGTGGTCATCTCTAACAATTTTGTAGCTTGTATATTTTTAAGTTATTCCTAAGATACTTTTTGAGAATTTCTGTCTCTCTGCAGCTCACCCATGCTGGAGTGACTGTTCTTGCCTGGGTAGTATCCATGTGCATGTCTTGATCGCTGTGTATGGACTAGAGAGCTTCTTGTGCCTGCTTTGGGCTGTTTGATACTGTGTATGAACGGCAGCAGCACTGATATGCTGTTTCTGTTGTTGGTTGTTTTTTCCACTGGCTTAGGTGATCAGCCCTGGCAATGCACCAGCATTAGCTCATATTCACTGATTAGTGGGATCTGCTTGTGCTTTTGGACATTGAAGTCTGCCTGGTTTTCTTTGGTATTATTGGGGTGCCTGTGAGGCATTGTCCATCTCTGCTTGTGCTGTGTGCTTCGTGCTGCCTGTTCTCAGCCCTTACAGAACAGGCTGGCAGCAAATCAGTGGTCAGAAGCACAGCTTCCTGCGGTGGCCGCTTCACTGCTGTGGCCCACTTCCCTCCTTGGTGAGGCCTCGAGGTGAGAACTCTATTCTTACTGGCCTCTGAGTTCCCTTGGGCCCTATCTTTGTTACCTGGTGGTAGAGACTTTCTTTACAGCTGCTTTTCTGATTATATGAGTTAAGACAGAAAAAACAGAGGTAAAACATTTGTGGTTTTGCCTTTCCCTCAGGAACCCTGGGGAGCTACCTCTTTTGGATCTGCGGGGAAAGAATTCTGGGTGCTCAGTTATTCCAAATGTCAACAGCCTTGAAATGAGAAGTAGCCGTTAAGATTGGACTGTGTGTGTGCTATAGCGAGAGGAATCCTCCTTGACAGCAGAAGGACCTTCAATGGGAAGGTGTTGGCTGGGCAGTGCAGGTTTGGTTGCTTTAAGCGCGGTGAGTCTCAGTGCTGTCAGTCATCAGCTTGTGAGTCCCAGCACAAGACATGTGTGTGCTGCTGCAGTGTTGGCCGTGTGGCGGGGCTCTGAGTGCAGTGGTTACTAAATCCTTAACAGGGGAGTTAAGAGCCTGGAGAACTGCAGCAGGCTGTGGTACCCAGCCCATCGGTCCTTCTGCAGTTTGCTTGCTGGTGAAACTTGTGGCACCTGCCCCTCGGCTGGACAGTATCCTGACTGTGGTGGTCTGTTTTCTCTCTTCCCTCCTCTTTCCCTCTGTGCCAGATGTAGATAGAGGATAACCTCACTTTTTTCCCAGTGTACTCTAAGAGCTCCCTGTGAGCCAAAAAAGTAGTTATATCCAAGAATACTTGTATTGGAGCTTTTTCAAAGGCGTGGATCTTCTCCAGGTAGGCAGTATAGGTTTGCTATTTTGCGCAGCCATCTGAAGCGCTTGGTCTAATGTAAGGTGTTGCTGTGCCAAAGCTGCAGCAGCGCAGCATAGGCTCTGCCTGCTGGATTGCTGTGTCCAGCTTGGTCCTGCAGTGCAGAGATGCTGTGCAGTTGAATAAGAAATGATGGAAACTGTGCGGAGAGCAGTTTTTGCTAGTGTTGGGCCAATTGCAGTTTTCAAAAGATAAGAGGATTGTTGCAGTGGTGAGATGAGTTTGCAGGGTGGCTGGGTCATTGTATTGAAAAATTGCTTGCTGTGGAAGATATGTTAGGTTGGGCCTGGCTTTCGCCAACCAAATTGCACAGGCTTACTGAGATGTCTGTTTTAGTGCTAATCCTAGTGCTCGGTAGTGTTAGGCTGCATAGACCTTCTTCCCCTTTTCTGAAAGGTGTTCTGGCACATCATCCATGGAAGGTATATTTTGTGAGTTTTTAACTATACTTGCTGTTGAGCCTTCTGTTGCATCTAGTGGAGGTTCACTGCTTTTTGAAAAAAATTCTTTTGCTTCTGTAGGCACAGGGATTGTCTCTATAAACTTGATTTTTTAAATTATCATTATTTGGGGAGGGGGAGGGAAGTATGATGTAGTTGAGAAAGGAATGCAGCTTTTCAGTAACATGGCAGAAAGGTTGTAGTTTTATGTGGTAATCAGGAAATGATCCTGTGGCTTGTGGAAGGAGCTTGGAGACTTGTCTTGTGATGGGTTATAGTGCCTACAAAGACTTGGCAGAGGTGTCTTTCCCTACTCTCTGCCTTTGTATTTCAGACAGACGGCTTTGCGACAGAGGCTGGCTGGGGAACTAAGATTCAAAAGACCTGCTGCGTGTGAACCAAGTTAGGAAAGGAGTCCTGGGCAGTATGTGAGGACACATATCTCTTTCCAGATTAATTCTGGTGACGGATTCATGAGTTTTGTCTTGATATGAGTGTCTCATGCTATAAAGCTGTATTCTCCTTGTCTTCACTGGTAGTAAACCAATTTTACAGAGATGCTGTATTTTGATCCGTTCTTGTTTTGTACAGCTTCAATAATTTTCAGTCTTTTCCAAATGTCCTGTAGTCTGGTACCTCCAACTAGGAAGTGAAAAGTTTCCTTATGAAGTTCTTTTGAAGATTTGTAAGCAAAACTGAAAAATGATTAGTTAATCTGGTATTAATCAAGCTATACGAAAGCAGAGTAGTATGATTTTAAAATAGGCCAATTAGCCTTTAAATTATAGTTAACTTTTTCAAAGGAAAAAGGAACTGATGAGACCCTGTATTTAAAACCTTCCAACACTTAATTTCAGGTACTTTGGTAGTTTTTATGAAAAAGGTCAGAAAAACTTTTATTTCTGACCATTTATTCTCTGTGCTTCATTCACTGTTAAAGGAATATAAAATAGCTGAGTTTGAAAGCACTAGCTGAAAATGCAGAACTTGCTATGCAACTTTTTCCCCCTCTTCTTAGTTTAATAGCACATATATATTTATATGGCTTCTTGATGTGTTTGAGAGAAAACCACTCGAATTTTGATGTTTCCAACCTAGAATACATATAGATTTCTCTAGGTTTGTGTTAAATTCATGTTTTATTTTGCAGGTTTGTTTTAATGTGGAAGTGGATCTCAGAGCTTAATGCAAAAAAAACAAACAAAGGTATGTGGAATTTTTTTTCCAGATTGCTTGAATCCATTAACACATACTGCTAAGCCATCAGAAAAGCAGTCAGTGAAAAAATGAATTGTATTGCAGCTTGAATCTTGATTGCTGAAATTTAGGTATGCAGTGCTGTGATACCAAAAGAGGAACACCCTTCCTCTTCCCCCGGTAGCTAAACATATGACAACAGTTACGGTTGTTTTTATTCTGCAAACTGTTGTAGTCAAAAAGTTATTGTGGCATTCTGTTAGCTGACGAGAACCAGAATTATGAGTACTTAAGATGGATTTCATTCTCTACATATTATCTGCCTGGTTTCTAAGTATTGAAAACGTACTTTGCATTGTGAAAGGAGTGTGTTAAACTTCCACTTATTTTATTAATAAATAACCATGTGGGAAATCTGGCCAGCTACCAGAATGGTATTTCAATTTCTTAATTAAGAAATTCTTTTTTTTTTTCCCTGTCCTGTTCTTAGGAAGAAACTCTTTGTGGAGCTATTTGTAAACAAAAGTATATGAAAATCTACTGTCGAATCTGGATGTCCATTTGCAATTGCAGACTGTCAGTTTAGGAGCTTAAGCATTTCTTGGCATGCTCCTCTTACCCCCTCTAATTTTTTGGGACAAAAGATTTAGTTAAACACGGATTTTGTTTCTTTTCACATTACTTCATGTTTTACAACAGTAATACTTTGGTTAATTAATTTATTCCCTATTAAGTTACATTAAATACACCTAAGAGCAGTTTGCTTTCATCTGTTTTAGCTTGATTCCTTCTCAAGTATCTTTAGGTAAGATCCCAGATCCAGTAAATTCTTATTATGGTGGAGATGGGTCTTGATAGTTGGACATGGGGGCTTTAGCAAGTAAGGTCTGGATTCCCAAGTTTTCTCCTTGCTGCTGACTTATATACCATCTTAAATTCAGCTCAATATTTTGAACAGGTGAGAGGGAGGTCCTAGTGTGTACACAACAAGAGGACAGAAAAAATGGAAACAGTATAGCGATGTTTGATTGGTACTGCTACTGCTTGGAGGAGATCTTGAAGCTCTGACAGAAATAGGCAAACCACCTGTACTTGGCCATGTCTTCTGTCTCCACTCATGAGTGACTGCAGCATCTTGTAGACTTCTGACCAATGAATTCAAATTGCACAACTTGATGCAGATTTGGCCTTTCGTGTAAGCTTATGTCACCTAAAGCAGTAGTTGAAAATGTGGTGTAATGATTCACTCAAACGTCTTGTGCTCTTGAGAGGAATTTAGTTCCTGATGATGGAAAGTGCCTCTACTCCCAAAGGTTTTCTTTGGGAGTAATGAATTTGGGTTTTTGCTTTCTAATTGCAAATAGTAAGATATCTTGACTTTAGGGAAATCAAATTACTTATTGCCAGTTAAATGTACACAAGTAAGAAACTATTTAACAACAATGAATGTATTTTATTAAGATAAATGTCGTCTTTGTTGATCAGAACCAGTTTGCTGTTGATGATCAGTGGATGCCACTGAATGTCATTTATTACTCTAGAGTTGTAAAGTAAGTGAGTAAAAGTAGAGTGTTAATTTGAGGAAGTCTTGTAGTAATTGGGAAATACAGCATGCTTTAGGAGGTCTCTACATCAGCAGGAGGTACAATCTTAGAATTTGTGATACTACTGAAACACGTACAGCAAATGATTGTCAGCCAAAGAAAGTAAAAAGCATAATAAATTGCTGCATACCTCTCAGAACATGCTGAAGAGAGAAAAGATACTACTTTTTTTTTGTTGTAATGGGAAGTGTGATCAGAATTTTTCCCAAAGTTGGAGAGTGTGTCATGTTCTAAGATACATTTCCATAAAATTGAGTTAAACTGTTCTAATGTCTTCTATTAAAAAAAAAAAAAAAAAAAAAAAAAAGAAGGTTGCACTGCAGATGTGTGGCAGTGCTGTGCACATTCTCAGCTCTGATCTTTAGGAGTGCCATCCCAGGAATAGCAGGCACTGCTGACTAACAGCATACAGCTGATGAATTTGAGAAATATTTCTGTCAAAAATAGTCAGATGAACCTGATTTCTAAAGCCCTTCCTAGTCTGGTTGTGATCTCTACATGCTGAGTTTTGAAATACAGTGAGAGTAAGCCTATGTGACTGTGCAGTTGTAATCACTGGAGATTTGCATAGGGTTATGACAAACATAATTAGTCAGTTTGCTGATCCCTACTGTATTTGTAGTGGAAGAAAGAGTTCTTCAGCTACTGCTCACAAAAGGTATCTGAACAAAAACACCTAATTGCAGGGAAGCGTTTTCTTTTAAATTGAAAGTCAGTTTTGGATTTGACTACTAAAAATACGTAGTTCTGCTTGGATTAGTTTGAAGTCTTTTTCTTAGTACGCCTTCAGTCACTCACTTGATGGCTGGGGAACGTTTTTAGTTCTGTGGGATCTACACGTGGAGTCACTACATTTGCATACAGAATCTCACCACCACTTGGTGGCACTACTTGGCTTCAGAAGGACTTTTTTCTGAACAGATGAACGCCTTGGTTCCACAGAGCTCCAATTTGAAGAGGAGCAGCCTTGTTTTAAATTTTCTAGAAGTTGTGATGCACTTCAGAAGTGAAGAGGCTTCTTATTTAACCTACTGAAAGGATTTGCTTTTGCATGTCTCTGTGGAAAATCTAGCTATCATATATATGTATTTTAAGATAATTTCTCATGATAATAGTATTCTCAGAAGATGTATTATTTAATGTTCCTCAGCCGAATTATTATCATAGCATTTACTTGTAGTGTTCTACTTAGATTGAATAGTATACTTCAAGTGATTTTAAAAGATAACATTAGTTTCATGGTAGCGTTCTTCATAATGTTATCTGTTGCAGGCAAATAAGGGAATGACAAAACTTCTTTCTTGCCTTGAAAAAAATTTTCTCTGCACTGTTACATTTATTTATTGATTAAAAACATTAGGAAAGAATTCCCCCATTTGATGAGTTCATGGCCCTTACTCTTAGTTCCTGCCTGTCAGTTGTGCCAGTTCAGCTGTAAGTGTGCCAAGCTGTTAAACTAGGTAAGGAAATCGTTAATAAACTGAAAGAAGAGATGTGGAGGAAGGCAGGAGTCATTTAAATTGGCTAAGAAAGGCATAATTCCAATATGTAACCAAGTAATGCAAGCTGAAATCTTCTGCAATGACAGCAAAGCTCTTCTTTTGTGTTTTTTTTCCCTTTCCAAGAACTCTAGTAGTGGTGCTAGAGCCCATAAGAATGCATGTACTTTCTTAAGCATGTTCTCTATGTGAACTTCTTCACTCGCTGTGACTGTAGTCATAACTGATGGAACTAGTTTTCATGATGGAGAAATACTTTCCTTACATTGTCTGGAAAGCTGACACTGAGAATCCAGCTTCCTTAGGCCCCTCTGTGGTATGGCAGAAAGGAATCTAAGCAAATTGTGAGCTGGAAGAAGGGTTCATTCTGTGAAAAAGTAATAATCATGGCAAATTCTAAGTAATAGAACTGTTAATAAAAGATGAGATAGAACTAGGAAAATGCATGTTTATAAATTTGAGAATAATGAGATAATTTAGCGAGAGAACTCTGGAAAACAGCAACACTGGAAGAGAGGGATATCAGAGTACAGTTCTGCTGTCTGTTCTGCCTAGCTTGAGAATATGCCCTCTTCAGGTGGAAACTCACATGTTCATATCTGTGCTTCCTATCCCTGGACACCGCTGAAGAGTGGGCAGCACTGAGTCCAGTACTGCCCTTTTTGCACTCTTCCTTCAGATGTTTGCACGTATGGATGAGATCTGTCTCCAACTCTTCTCTATGCTAAGCAGTCCCACTGCTGTCAGCATTTCTTCATATGAGATGCTCCAGTCTCTTAGTTGTTCCAGTGGCCTTTCAGGAGACTCCACAGTAGCTCCAGGTCTCTCCTGTGCTGCAAATCCCAGAACTCCAGATGTGGCCTTGCCAGGGCTGAGTTAGAGGAGAAGGATCACCTCCCTCAACCTGCCAGCAGCATTCCTCCAACCGCAGCAGGGAACCCGTGCTGCCATCTGACCACAGTAATTTATCTGTGCATGTGAAACTATGGAGGGCAACAGTTCTGTGGTGGAATAGTAAGTATTATCGCACCACAGTAAGTCTGTAGTTTTAGAAGTTCTGTGTGCACTCCTGGTACGCTGTTAGGTATTACCTCATCTGTGTCCATCTCGGAAAAATCCGTGGTTTGACTGCAGAAGGGCAGTGTCACTTCAAGCTTGTTCGTACTTGTGAAAATACAATCTAGACAAAGATGCAGGAATGTGAGGACTTCAGTACTTGACTGACCGGTATGGATAGCGCTGTCAAGTGCTGTGGGGAGTTATGGAAGCCTGTGGGGCTTCCTCCGTTCGAGGTTTCCATTGAAGATTCAAAGGCTTGGTTCTGTACAGGCTAGGCATCTTTTGGCAGTATCCAGTTCACTTTGAAAAGTCTTTGCCAATGAGATCATCTTAAATGGCTGCAGTAGCTCTTAAAGCTAGAAGAATATTTTTGAAAGTTCTACATCTGATTCTTTTGACACTGAAATTGTATTTTCATTTATTTTATTGATTTTAGTATTGGATTTTAGTGTGACGTACTCCTTTGCAACAAATTGGTGTATTTTCCCAAGCAAATCAATATTGGAGAAGTAAGATTAAGAATGGTTGGTGGCAGTAACAGCATTCTATTCTATTATTTCTGAATTGTAAGACAGTCTTGCTTTGGTTGTGAACTGTTGTCTTGCAGAGGTGAGATGTTTCAGCATCACTCTTACACATTCTAGACCAAAAACCATGTTTATAAAACTCTGGTATTTTTTCTAACTATCGGACACATGGCTTTCAAAGAAGCTGTTTTGTTAGCTACAAATTTCCAGCTAACTTTCAGAAAATAAGTGTGCTTCAAGTTTGATGTTCCTGAGTATCACCTTACTGGAAGAACAGACTTTTTTTTTTTTTGTAAGTTGATAGACCAGTAGAAATGCTG